AACTAGTACATGTCATATGAGCACTAGTCAGCAGTTTGATATCTGTGCATTAGACACTGTGGTAGTTTGAATGTAACTACCCCCCCCCCATAAGCTCATAGGGAGTGGCAATTTTAGAAGGTTGTTGGAGTAGGTGTGGCCTTGTTGGAGGAAGTATGTATCTATGGAGGCGGGCTTTGAGGTCTCGTATATGCTCAAGCCACACCCAGTGTCTCAGTTCACTTCTTGTTGGTGCAAGATGCAGGACTCTCCGCTACTTCTCCAGCACCATGTCTGCCTGCACGCTGCCATGTCCCACCAAGATGATAATGGACTGAACCTCTGAAACTGTAGGCCAGCCCCAACTAAATGTTTTCCTTTATAAGAGTTGCCGTGGTCATGGTGTCTCTTCTCAGCAATAGAAACCCTGACTAAGACAGATACTCATGAAAGGTTTTCAGACAGCAGGGAAAAGGGAACATGATTACCTCACTTTAAGGAAAGAAAACATTAGTGGGCTTTACTGACCTTTTAGGGTAGACGAAGATATGTGTATAGTCACACACATACACATTCATATATAAAAAAATCTTTGCAAAATGACACAAAAAACTGTTAAGAGTTGAGGCTTTAATGAGGAATATACAAAACAGTGAGAGGAAAACCTAGACTTCACTGCACACAATTTAACTATTTAAACTTAATAAAAATGCTTCTGTTTGCTATTCAAAAGTAAGACTTTAATTAAAAAAAATAAAGTAAGATAAAATAAGCTTACCTGGCTGGACAAGTAGCTTTGTAAAGATGACAAGACCTACTTTCTTGCTCACTGATTCTTTTTAACTGGAAACCTTTCCTTCTTGGTCCATACTGACACTCCATTACTACAGCTCGACTACCTGTGGATCCAAACCAACCAATGCAGTAATTTATCTGCTTATATAGTCTAGACAGATTGTTAAAAACTTGGTTGTGGCAATTTCAAAATCTATACTTTTAATTACATAAGATTATGGAACAAAAACATCAGTATTTCTTACTAAAAATGCAGACAGACAAATTTAAATTTATGTAAAATTTATCAAATATGCCATAATCATGGTAAATAATTAATAAATATCTCGTTTACTGATACATAGAGACATATGATTTTATTTTATTTGGTATTTCAAGACAGGGTTTTTCTGTGTAGCACTGGCTGTCTTGGAACTCACTCTGTAGACCAGGATGGCCTTGAACTCAGAGGTCCTTCTGCCTCTGCCTCCTGAGTGCTGGGATTAAAGGTATGTGCCAAATGAGACATGATTTTTAATAATATGAAATGTACCACTTTATAAGTTGAAATTAGCAAATGTTACATTTGGTTAATTATTAATACTATTTAAAATCTTAATTCCTTAAAAATTTTTTTTTTTAGATTTACTTTATTTTATGTATTTGAGTGTTTTGCTTGAATGTGCATATGTGTACATGTGCATGCCTATTGCTCACAGAAGTAAGAAGAGGCATCTGATCCCCTGGAGCTGGAGTTAATGATTGTGAGCCACCATATGGGTGCTGGGAACAGAACCTGGTCCTCTGCAAGAGCAACAAGTACTCTTAAGCACTGAGCCATCTCTCCAGCCCCTAATTTCCTAAAAAAACCAAACTAAAAGAAAAAGATTTTTGTTTTTGTGTTTGTGTATATACCTGCAAGAGTTTATGTGCACCAAGTATGTGCAGGTGCCTATGGGGGCCAGAGGGTGCTGGATCCCATGAACTTGGAGTTACAGATGGTTTGAGATATCTGGTGTGGAAGCTGGGAACTGAACCCAGGTCCTCTGCAGGGGCAGAAGTGCTCCTAGCTGCTGACCCATTTCTTTAGCCCCTTTACTTCCTGTTTCAGAAATTATTGATTTTCTTATTTCTTTTTTTGGTTTTTCAAGACAGGGTTTCTCTGTGTAACTTTGCGCCTTTCCTGGAATTCGCTCTGTAGCCCAGGATGGCCTCAAACTCACAGAGATCCGCCTGCCTCTGCCTCCCGAGTGCTGGGATTAAAGGCGTGCGCCACCACCGCCCGGTGATCTTCTTATTTCTATTTGGCCTGTTAGATTGAGGTGGTGACCCGCCTCTAAGATGGTCCCAGGCATCCTGGCCTCCTACTATTCACTTCCTCGTGCAGCTCTCCCCTTCAGCATGGGCGGTCCCCACTAACTTCCTCCTACTAAACGAGGCAGTAGTGACAATGTGTTACGGCTGCTATCAGGTTACAAGGTAACTATCATTTCCGTCTTGGGTACTCGTTTACTCTTCCATGCACTGCTGTCTCTAGGTGACATCAGCTGCCACACAGTGAGGGAGCTCTGTGCAAAGGCCCACACAACAAGGCAGCCGCACAAGTGAGACTGGAATCGCCTCCTCTCCTAGTAAGCACAGATGACTGCAGTAGCAGTCAACACAACAGCCTCAGACTGTGTAAGAACCTGAGGCAGTCACCTTGCTAAGCTACACCTGGAATTCTGACCCTCAGAAACTGAGACAATAAATGTTTGTAGTTCTCAGCATTCAAGTTGGGGGTAATTTATCACATTACAGTAGACTACAAATACATAGATGGGAAAATGATGCCCACTGCAGGATACAACCGACCGCCCCACCCCCACCCCCCATCCCGAAGCTGAGGACCGAACCCAGGGCCGTGTGCTTGCTCTACCACTGAGCTAAATCCCCAACCCCTACAACTGACTTTTAAGACATAAAAAATGGCTGGAGAGATGCTTAGTGGCTAAGAGCACTGGCTGCTCTTCCAGAGGACCCTCTATCAATTCCCAGCACCTACATGGTGGTTCACAGGCATCTCTAACTCGAGTTCCTGAGGATCCAATGCCCTCCTCTAGCATCTGTGGGCACTGCATATATGTAGTACTCTAGCAACATATCCATAAAAAAACTCAAAAAATACATATAAAATTGTTAATCATAAATAAAAAAATTAATAAAGCTGACACTAAAATGTAAGACCTCTGTTTAAAGGGATTGTTGGTGACTTTATAACATTAGTATAAACTACTATTTATTTTTTATTGGTTAGTGTGGTAGTTTGAATGTAACTGTCCACCATAAGTTCACAGGGAGTGGCACTATTGGGAGGTGTGGCCTTGTTGGAGGAAGTGTGTCACTGAGGAGGCGGGCTTTGAGGTCTCCTTTGCTTAAGCTTCACTGAGTGTCACTCTCTCTTCCTGCTGCCTTCTGATCCAAATGTAGAACTCTCGGCTACGGCTCCAGCACCGTGTCTGTCTGTCTGTCTGTCTGTCTGCAATCATGCTCCCCACCATGATGATAATGGACTGAACCTCTGAACTGTAAGCCAACCCCAATTAAATGTTTTCCTTTATAAAAGTTGCTGTGGGGGCTGGAGAGATGGCTCAGTGGTTAGGAGCACTTGCTGCTCTTCCAGAGGACCTGGGTTCAATTCCCAGCACCCACATGGAAAAAAAAAAAGAGTTGCTGTGGACATGGTGCTCTTCACAGCAATAGAAACCCTAACTAAGACATTTAGGGACAGGATCTCACTAAGTAGCCTTGATTGGCCTATAACTCACCATGTAGACTAGGCTGGCCTTGAACTTACAGAGCTCTACCTGCTTCTGACTCCTGAGTGCTAGGTTTGAAGGCCTGTGCCATCAAGTCTCACTCTATTAATTATTTTAAAGTTTGATGTCAGGGTTGTCACATGTTTGGGAAGGACAAAGATAAGACAAGAGTAACCTGGGCTAGGATTTTGCAGGAATGAAGGTGGAAATAAACAATTAAATAATAATAAAGCCAAAAGAACAAATGCATACATAAATAATCATATCACAAAAATCTGGTTTAAAAACAGCTGACAGCTGTTGAAGCTACATGATAGATTCCAGAACATTTTTTATATTCTTACCTCTATTTTTGATACAAATGAAAATTCCCATACCATAATCTTTTAGTTTTATTTTTTTGATACAGGGTCCACCATGTAGGCCTGGCTGGCCTTGAACTCCTAGACAGCCTCCTGCCTCTGTTTCCAGAGTACTGGATTACAAAGTTATGCTCCAGTACATCTGGCTATTCTGTTTTTGTTTTTGAGACAGGGTTTCTCTGTGTGGCCTTGGTTGTCCTGGACCTCACTATGTAAACTAGACTGGTCTCAAACTCAGAGATAGTCTTGCCTCTGCCTCCTGAATGCTGGGATTAAAGGTGTGTGCCACCATGTCTGGCCTACCAGGACATTTTTTAAAGTCTGGATATACTAAGCGAAGGATTGAATGTAGAGACATTTATAACATTGCCAACAGGAGTGAAAATCAGCATGTTAATGCTTTTTTTTTAAAAAAAAAAAAAGGCTTATTTATTTATTATATGTGCAGTGTTCTGTCTGCATGCCAGAAGAAGGCACCAGATCTCATTACAGATGGTTGTGAGCCACCATGTGGTTGCCGGGAATTGAACTCAGGACCTCTGAAAGAGCAGCCAGTGCTCTTAACCTCTGGGTCATCTCATCAGCCCATCCCTCAAGCAAATTAATTCTTTATGAGTAAATCTGAAACCTAAAAAGTTCAGAAAACAAAGCTTTTAGAACTTACTTGGCAACAACTTGATCTAAACAACGAAATTATGTGTTTGTGTGTCCATCTATATATCTATCGTCTATCTGAGAGATGATTTATTTCTGTTAGTGTGACTATAAAGGATTATTTTTTTGATTATGTGATATTGTCTATAGGTCTACTTGGAATTTAAAGTTCTATTTATTAACATACTATACAAGTGAAATATTTACTTGGTGTCATAGATTAAAACATAATTTTATGACAAAGAAATTGTTTATATTTGCTATGTTTTCTTTTTAGTTTAACATTCATTCATTTTTAGCAATTAAAATTCAATTCTCACCTACCAAAATGAAATGTATCCTCTCACAAAAATCCTATTTTCACCACAGAGCGCAGCTACTGAGTCTTTAAGTAACTGGTGGAGTTACCTGCATTGACAAATGGGATGCCATCATAGGGCACATACTGGGACTTCCACATCAAGCGCGTGGCAGGTTTGGCTGGGCTTGGAGACTGGCGGGTGCCCCAGACACTCCGGGTTTGCTGCTTGTGAAAAGTGAGGATGCTTTCTAGTTCAGTCTCACTGACACAGTAGCCACGGTAGGAATCTCCAATTTTCTGTACAAGGAGAAATCATGTAAGAAAATCATTGGCTGGAAGGATGGGAGACCAGCAGGATCCTGTCCCATGTGTCAGCCATGACAGATTAAAGCTGTTACCACACACATACACACACACACACACACACACACACACACACACACACACACACACACAAAAAAAAAAAAAAAAAGGAAGAAAGAAAAAAATCATTGGCAAATACATTTCAGTGAACAGTAAATTTAACAAGATAATTCTCTAAGGTGAAATAGCATCAAGTCACTTCCTCACCGCTGGCCTGTAGTGGTCTGAACTCAAACAGTACCATCAAACAGATGCAAGGGTATATAATAACACATTCACTGCCATACGAGAAGTAAGTTTTAGAAGAAAAAGCTTGAAGAATATGTAATATAGCCATCCTCTTGGATGTCTAAAATTCTACCCCTAGATCAAATCGAGTACTGATTCTTTGTGATTTTTTTTTATATGATGCCAAGAATCTATCTAAAACCCAATGAAAACTATGTGTTCTAAACCCATATGACTATGTGTTCTAAAAAAAATCTTGCACAAGAACTTCATTGTATCTAATACTCTTTTTTTTTTTTTTTTTTTTTTGGTTTTTTGAGACAGGGTTTCTCTGTGTAGCTTTGCGCCTTTCCTGGAGCTCACTTGGTAGCCCAGGCTG